ATTACGCGTCATAATTGTCTGTGTTCATGTTTTACTACTCAATTATACTTATTTGTGCCTGTATGTGCATTTGTGTTGGCGTACTAAGCAGTGTGATCCGTAAAGATCATGTTCTATCTGTGTTCTCATGCTACACGCCTCGACATGTGCACAACTTGCCAATGTTCGTAGGGCTGTAAATCAGGGAAGTCAGAGTCCTGAGGTAGTAGAGTTATCATGGAAAGCCCGAAACCAAAGCACATGTTCAGGATGATGGAGATCAGTGGCAAACCCCAGAATTGGTTATGGACAGCCTCGTAGAATAGGCCGGTGGGACTACCAAATCGGGTGACAAACGCATACATACCGCCTATCCTCCGTCCGAGCTACATCCAGGATTAGATTATATATATATATCAGTACAGAAGTACAACTTTAATTTAGACGGATACGACTTTCAAAGATAAGGAATGCGAAGACAACGTAAAGATAAATTGGGTCTGTATGGAGAAATGATATATGTAATTGTACCAGAGGTTGTGGTGCAATATAGCTCTATAAATTTGCTACGAGTGTGATAGTGTCAGTTAGTAAGATGCCGCCAACTTAGATCTTTTATAGCACGAGAAAAACCCGATCCTTAGCCATTCATACATAATACGCACCGAAAGAGTACACAAGCTTTGACTACGAAGTATAGTAGAAGATGTAAATCAAAGTAACGTTCAAATCTCTTGGATAAATGTATAACGAAGCAGATAGAAGAGACAGCCGCAAGCGCCCACGCCCACGTGCTGAACGTGCAGAAAAACATCACGGTTGAATATAAGAATAAACTATAAAATGAATGTTCAAATAGGGTGTACGCACCATGCGGGCAAGGCTGTCGCCCCTGGAGAGTACATTGTCCTTCTTGCTCTTCTTCTCCTTCAGCTTATCTGAATCCTCTGCCATGATTAAAACCTCCTAGAAATGTGTTGCCAATTATTATGTTGTTGCTTCACAAACTCGATGATGGGGAATGCTCAATCAAAGGATGTGCGTACAGCCAGCGTTGTATTGCAGATGGTTTATATTCGTGTATGTGTAGCATTAATCCGGAACGGTAAAAATACTATTACTTGATACAAGCAGTATCGCCAATATTGAAGCATGCACCACGTGCTTCGTTTTAAGTGCGGGTATATATCCTGCTTGAGATTCCTGCCCTCTATTTGTGTCTTCGGTTATAGTTATCAGCACATATTTAAGTGCTTTCTGATTATTGTTTTTGTTTTTTACAAAATATACAATATGTAAATACTATTTTTATGTTTTTTTCTAAAAACAAATAAATGATTCAGGATCCAACTTCCAAGATTCCAAGAATCCAAGATTTCAAGTTCCAAGTTCCAAAGAGTATGAACTATGAAAGTCCAAACTCCAAGAGTCCAACTCTGTCCAAGTCCAGACTCATTGAAGTAATAGGCCCTACATAGTACATACCCAGTCCCCAGTCGGCCAGGCCCCAGTCCCCACCCCCCAGAGGCCAGAGTTCCCACAGATTGTGAACTGTGAGTCTGTGAGACTGTGACTGACCCATATGGGCCTGACTGTCATTATGCATATTTTTGAAAACAATATTTTGAGAAGCAAGTTTATATTTTTATAGTGTTATAGAGCTGTTGACTTGTTGCCCGTGTTGGTATTTATTTATGATGACTGGTGTGACATGTCGCCACTCAAGAGAGAGAAGGCATCCCGGCAAAATGGGATGTATGCCAGAAATATCGTTTTCTCAAACAACAGTTTCGTTTCTGTTCCAGAATCTAGCTCCACCACTCCACAGTCCTCGACCACTTCACCACAAGCAGCCGCAGGTATTTAAAAAAAAATCAACACTTGTATTTTTTTATTATATTTGTTGCTAAAACTTGAATTTTATTGGTATTTATTAATCTCGCTTACAATTTTTTTAAATTTCGCAGTTTATAATGATAAAAATGCTGCTCTCTTAAAGCACTTTCTACGTTTACGGGGTCACAGCGGGCGTCACGCGGCTCACGCCGTGTATTGCGTCGTTTGGTCTTTAAATGTGACCAATCAGAACGATAGTAAAATTGCTTCCCCACTAGCGATTGACATTATATAAGATTATGGAATACATATGTATTTATTTAGTAGATTTCCTTTGGCAGACTGGCAGTCTCTGGAGTTCTGGACTCTTGTTGCGAGGGTCTGTGAGGCAGTGTAAAACTCTAAAAATAAATAGTCTGGCTTGCCGCTTGCAACAAAAGCGGATATTATAACCATATGTAGGCTTCATTACGATAAAAGTCCATAGCCTCCTGTTATACTTTATTTTATTTTAAAAATAATAGTATAAAAATATTATTTTTAAAAACAATTTTTTCTTCAATCTGTACAAAACCCTAAAAAAAAGTAAAAGTCTGTACTGTTTCTACTATATGTTAAAAATCTGTAACTACTATAGTAAAAATAGAAGCTGTACTTAGAGTGTATAATTTACTACTGAGTCAGTAGTCTACTAAAAAATATTAATTTCCAAAGTACATATTCACCGCTATTCATCACCAGTTCCTCAATATGTACAGGTAAATAGATGTTGTTAATAGCTACACTTCGGTTTAAAAACACAACCGAACACGTTAGCTACACTTCGGTTTAAAAACACAACCGAACACGTAACCCCCCCCCCACCCCCCCCCCCCCTTAACCATCCATTCGCAAGTATAGTTGTGCATATGCGCCATCGTCGAAACATAGCATTCAATTATTCGGCAAATATGACCTGGCATGAGGCAGGTAAAAATTACTAGTTTGTTGTGAACGCTGAGCTACTGTCCTTTTGAAACATGTTTGTTCCGGCGATCTACCTTTACTTAGTAACGGGGGATATATCAAATTCTTCTCCGAAAACGTGGTCGTATAAATCAGTTTCATTAGTATCGGCTAGTTCCAAGTTATAAAAGGAGGCACTCTCGTGCTCGAAGTATGGTCCAGCGTGCCAGGTTCCCATCTGTGTGGCAATTGTTAATCAATTCGACTAGTGATTAGAATACACGCTAGCGGTTAAAATATCCAATCGAGAATACTAGTCTGATATACATCTCGGATGACGGTACTAACCCCGAATCTTGTGGTTTGTATACCAGTCAGGTGGCATCTACCTTATACGCACTGTATTGATCGGAAGCAGAGATCCCGGGTGTTCCGATTCTCATATCATGCACGTTCACCAGATGCTAAGAAATGCACTTTCACCAGACACATTTCATGCACTTTCACCAGAAGCTGTAACTAATACATTCGAGTTAAACGCGAAATGGTAGGCAATGCTTAGATATTCGTTTCAATGATTCTTGGTATAGATCAATGAACGGACTCGATTGGATGTTGAATTCCTTGTATCACTGCATGTTACACGTGCATGCGCAATCTATGAAGTATTTACGCCAACTATACCTAGAGAATACAGATACAAATTGCCACATATTCCAGCAATCATATTCAGGACCAAAAAAAGGATATAAATTCGGTTTCGTATGAGTTAGTTAGAAACATAAAACCATAGTACGGACCAATAATGTCTGCAACAGATGTGGCAGGACAATGACGTTAAACATATCACAGAACATGAACATGTACGCCATGAAGTCAAAGCCACCACACCTCTAATTTGATAAAGCAATCTCCCGGTATGTGAAACGCTTTCATCTGCGACATGTCAGGCATGATAGAGTTCTTGTTGGGAGGTGCCACTACCATGTACCAGTCTTTTCCGTCGATTGCCCCTAAGCACTGAGTACACTTCTGGTGTCTGGAAATGCGATCTATCCGGAGCCCTCGACCCTCCTGTGCTTGACAGAGTAGATTCGATGAAAATGCGATACACGTTTTGAATAACGTTCATTACAAGCACCCAGAAGCATCATCTATCGCTGATTTCTCGTGCTCGCGGAATATACGTATATTTCTGAATTTCCGTATTTGTAACAAAGTGGTGGGCATTTGCCTGCACTCGAGCTGTTGGAACTGAGCGTATGGGTGAAAGGTAACCCGATTTACAACGACAACAACACATCCCCCTTCAAATTATCAATATTTTTTCGTGACGACATATAAATGCTCCTTGAATGCCTCTTGAGAAGTATATGAAAGCACTCCTCACATTCGCACACTGTACACACATTGAAAGATACCGAACATTCCAACGAAGACACCAAACTGAAAGCCTTACCAGCTGCATGATATAGAAGCGTGGCGTACCATTGCTCAGATTGAGCTGAGCATCGGCTGGACCGAAAGGCAATCCATCGCTAGAAGGACGAACCACTTGGCCATAGGGGTTGAAATTTTCTGAAGCTGCATGCGAATACATCGATCACATTTTATTGCATTCTTTCCTGAACCTCGTTATTAGTCTAATAAAAGGTACATAACGAGCCATATTCTTGATGCATATACGAGTATGATCAATAACTACAACTCCTGAAGTTGCATATGACACATGCTTGGTATTTCTTTCTTATTTATTCCTTTGATATTTGTTCAACAATAGGTAAGCGAGATTCATTCAGACTCAATTATAGCGCATATACCAGTAAGCTCAATAGCTACAACATTCTAACGTATTGAAATAGGATAGTCACCACCTACACATTATTTGAACGTATTAGTTGCTGGCGATCACACATTTATTGAAGCTGCTCAGCGGACTTCGTAAGTAATACTTTTACATTTATCATTTTTGCTATGCAAGGCAGCCGGCAAAGTCAAATGATCAACATATACATGCCTGCTATTTACTTGACATCTCACTGTACGAATCATCTAATGTTTGAGTATGCACACTACCACGCGAGGTACTAACTTGTACGTACATTCAATAAATGGCTATCTTATTTGATTGAGTACAATAGCAACGCTTACCAAAGATCAAAAACTGTGCATGCATGCTATATATCTGATACTTCACTGCACAAGTTATTGTACTGTATGTTTGCCACGAAGCGAGGTACAACTGCAAACCTACTAGATGGTCTTTCAATATAAAAGCACAAAGGCGTTTTATAATGATGGGGGTCTTAGATTGGACTGTGTGCTTATTGAAATGAGGATATACATTACACGCACACGGAGCACGACCAACAATCCACCTTGTACTACATGTGAATGACCTCTGAGCGTATAACACTAAAAGTGGAGGTTGCTCCAGACAAGATATCCGAGAAAAGAGGTATTGAGTAGTAAACAGGCCTGAAAACCACGTTGAAGTAACAACACCAAATGACAGAAGACTATTTATGCTGTAACGGAGTTAAGTGCTGTAACGAAGTTAAGACTATTTATGCTGCACCGAAGTTAAGACTATTTATGCTGTAACGGAGTTGGTACAAGACAGGAAACAAGAAAATACTGCAGAGCTTACGAGCATATTGAACCGAAAAGAGAGCGTTGCCTGGTCACCCATACAACAGTACAAGCTTCAGTCAGACACAGCCTCAACCAAATACCGAACCTCATTGGTATATAGTTGTGCATGCTCGGAACATACGTATACACGTTTACACACACATACTTATCTCCTGCGTTGGAAGTATCGTCACCCCAGCGCTCTCTGTGCTAGTCATTGTGTACGTATATTGCGGGCGTCTCTCTGGTGTGCTATGTGCATAGCAGACTGAGTTTGTGAAAGTCTGTGTCTGGCTTGCTTTATATTCTCTCTTATAATTTTGCAATATCCGAGGCCCAAACCAGAGCAGCAAATTTAATAAAAAAATCAGGCCGGCTTATTGAACTGCTCCCTGAACAGTAAATAAATTAGAGGTGGGCATATTTATGTGAACATCACTACAGGGTCCATCGCGCCACTAAGGAGAGCTATAGTGTTTCAGTGAGTTATATTTGCCTTCATTCAAGAGTGCTTATTCTACGTGTTAAAATATACGCATATGCACAGGCATATACACCAAGATTTCTATTCTTAATCTCATGGTGATTTGCGTGAGGGTCTTCAGGAGGCCGAGCAAAGCGCAAAACGTCGACGTCGTTGGACAATCGAGTTTTCAATTTATAGAGTACAGATATGCCTTATGTCCTCGCACAATTTTATAACTTTAAGTCAGCACTAACAATATCTTGGACCGTTGTAACAGGTCAGAGTCAAGTATTGGGACAGAATTGCATCCTGTCGGTAGATACTATTTTATCGCGCATTCTTGTACCTGAATACGGTTGAAGTTTGCGAAATCACTGCCAAGCCAAAGTATCACATTATTTTACTGAATATGTGTGAAGTGAGCGAAATCACTGCCAAGCCAAAGTATCACATTGTTTTACTAAGTGCGTCACTGTTAAGCCAAAGCATCATATTATTGTACTGAGTACGTCTAATGTCACTGTTAAGCCAAAGTATCATACTATTTTAACTGAATATGTGTGAAGTGAGCGAAATCACTGTTGAGCCAAAGTACCACATTATTTTACTAAGTGCGTCACTGTTAGGCCAATGTATCATATTATTTTATTGAATATGTGTGAAATGAGCGAAATCACTGTTAAAAGCTAAAGCATCATATGATTTCGGAAATACATACAGATGAGACACCACCTACAGTATTGCAAATCGATATAAATACATCAGATAGCTCGGACGTATACATCTCGGACGTATACATCGTAATAACTAAATTAAAATTGATGTTAATTTTACAGGGGATAAAATCCATCAGATAGCTCGGGCGTACCCACCATAACAACCATTTAAATTGATTTTAATTCTACTTTAGCAGGCATCCTCCATAGCCTCTCCTACATCTGACCTCCTTATGTGGGATCATTACGGGGTGTATCAAACGGTGACCGTGACAGCGAGATATATCGGATTTCATCGGTACTTTCATTCACTGCGGCAAGCAGCGATGTCTTCTTGACCGCTACTCCTAACCTTCCGAGCCTGTGCAATGACGAGAACGAATGGTCGTATGTCAATCACAGACCATTTGATTTGACATATGGAGTGGGCCAGTCAACCTATTTTGTGATCTTGAAGACAGACAGCGGTTTATACGTACTAGGATTAGAGGTAAGGTTACTGTAAGCCTAATGTATGGAATTGAACCATTCAATACCATACAGACACAGGTGGTAGACATATCCACACACACGGTATTCGTGGTAGGCACTGACAAACACATGGCACCCACTTGAACACACATAACACACACACACATACACATAACACACACACACACATACATACATACACACATGGCATATTCTTGCACAACCCATGGTATATACTTATACCGCACATGCCACATACTTGCGTCCACAGAGCACACACGTATACACATGGAATATGCATATACACATGGACTATGCGCACACACACATGGCAGGTACATATGGGAGGTGAGAACATACATACGGTAAGCTGGGACGTGTCATAATATGCCTAGCTGTATAATAAATAGTATATTCTGCATCTCAGGTACATCAACACGCCTAGCTGTATAATAAATAGTATATTCTGCATCTCAGGTACCTTAGAAATAGGATTGACAAATGAAGACTTATATTCGCAATAAAAAAGCAAGCCTACCCAACTAATTCCAGAGCCGTCAGTTCGTAGTCCCATGCAACAATTCTCACAATAAATGTGGAATGGCATACTGCCGGATCTCCTCGATAGCAGAGATAGTCGCCTGAAAATGATAGGAACCCAAGCCAATATGGGGTTAGAAATTCGGATCGAAGGTTGATGCGATGCGAGAATACAACAGTTGTGTTGATTTCATAAGACGTGAAATCCCTAATGACATATGTGGTAACACAATGCAGGTAGCATTGATTCTAACATAATAATAACAAACAAGACCAGAGGCAAAATGGGATGTATGTATATATGTATGTGTGTATGTATGTATGAATGATATCACGCGTGTACCCTCAAGACAAGATCGATGCCCTTTCTGTGGCATCGGCTAAACGTGTGTTAGTTCCAAGCAAACAATACTGCCACTCACCGCCAAATTTACACCCCGATGTCATGTAGAAGCCACGCTCATACAAATCTCTGAATATTCGCAGACGAGCCCAGTCCACTGCTGTGCGAGGGAAATCCCAATTGACCATGGGCGGCAGTTCGGCGGTTCTGGTTCCAAAATAGATCGGGATACAAGAAATAATCAGGATACGTTTCCAAATTAATTTATGCACTGCGAACAGCGGGTGGTATATAATGGACAAAGCAACCGAGGCTCGGAATTGAGAACATGCTTGCGAAATAAAGCATTAATACATACACAACAAAATACAATTTCACTCATGCGGACACCCACACAAAGCTGGCATATTAGCAAATGGCGCCACTTGGAAACCGGGTTCAACTGTACAGACAAACACACCCACCGCTTAGGATCGTGAGTCACAGCCACACTTAAAGTGTTCGTTTCGAATTTTGCATCGGGATACTTGCTCATTTTGACTTCGTTCTTCACTTCCTTGCCGAAATGACCTCCGTGCTTTTCGATATCCTCATGCTTTGCGTCCTGCTTGGAGAAGACCCATTCGAAGTATGCGTGGCGTTTGAAAAATTGAACACATTTGTGTAAAACAAACACTTACATGTTTGTTAGCCAGATTCGGTTGGGGTAAGCCCCTGCACTCTCGCTATTCAGGGCTAGTATAGTACCACTCTCGCTCTGCAGGGGTAGTATAGTATGTCTACCTCCTGCCTGGGTAGGGGTATCAAAGGTCTCGCACCTACAGGCGAAACCAACCGCACAAATGATCATGTATATGCAATCTCAAGTACATCTGATCGTGCATAGAACGCAGAAGTGGAGATCAGTATCTTCCGTTCAACTCGTGAGATTCATTCGTATTCCTCCATAAGCACGTCTCCTGCCGAGCCGAGAACAACATATGTATTAAAGTATACCTGCCTAACGTCCAGTGCAAATGGGTTTTCGGAATCCCCCAATGCTTAATCCTGAACATCCGTACTATGCTATGCCCATTCGTGTTTGGGCCAGGCCTAGAACCATGGGCAGATCCATGAACAAACACCTCACTGCCTTTCTCTGTGTCTCCTAACAAGGCTCTGTCGTACCACGGTGTTCAGTAATGGATGCGTTCGCCGAACCGTGCGTATGGGTTGAGAGAGGAATTGATACGATGAACAAAGGTTCTATTCATGTTGAGCACCTACTTACAAAGGATTTGAAGTCCTCGGATCTGCAGTTCAGGAAACGGTCCGCATGCGCTTCAGTGTAGCCCAATACATCCGAGCCGTCCACCAGTTTTGCCTTGCCTTCAGTCCACAATGAGGTGCACGCACGGGGATGTACAATGAAAATAAACGTTTCGCTACCCAGAATAACGCTATGCATATTTCCGTCGACAAAACCAGCTAGCTTGTGTAGGATAGTATAGAGATTGAAAGGCCACGTACAGTACCGTCTAATCGTCAGGTTGTGCATGGTGTCTGGTGGTCCCTCCCTTATGCCAGAACAGTGCAGTAAGTGCACGGGAATAATCCATTCCATTCCATAGCGTATGGATCTGGGCAAAGCCGCTTCGGCGTGTGTGTGCGTGCATAACGTCTGCGTTTACAACTCAGGGCCCATGGATTTATAACTAAGACCAGCAGTGCAAGATGACGAAGCAACACGTGATATGAAGTAGACCAACCACATGAAATACAATTGAATACAAAGCAGATACACACTGCGGTGACCTCATCCACGCATAATCAGAATCACCAGGTAATTTCCAGAGAAGAATAGACTCTCTGAGTGGGGGACAGAACTTCACTAAAAATCAAGAAAGGAAACCAACGAATGTGGCAAGCCTATTGATGAACACTGCACAGCTAAATCAACATACACTTAGACCGTTTAGATCTCAATAACAATAGCATGGATTGTAGGGCATAGTAGACAGCACCCAGGCTCAAGCCATAGGCACCTCCAAAACGAACTGCAAAGTACATTATGTAGGACTACAACCGTACAACGTATTCGTGCCATCTACTGAGATATAGTTCAAGGTACTGGGCTAAGAACAAAACGGAATGAAGACTCGATAAGGAAACGCGTTCGTCAAGTACAAAACCAGCGTCCACTCAAGGGTACCTATCTAGTGACAACCGCTACAGACTTCACACTTTCCACTCACCTTGATTGACTAGCATGAAGGCACATTCGGGGGATATCAGCATAGGCACGCCCAGTATCACATTCTGATGGATCTGTGTGGGCAACGAGCCCACCGCATCACCAAGGAGACGAAGCTGGGTGCGTAAGTAGACGCAATCTGAAGCATACCAGCAGTGTATAGAAGAGAGTTCAAGCATGAGAAGCTACTACTCGAGTGGCAGTAACGTAAAAAAAAGGCTGTGCTCCAACCAGAAGATGACCCGACATAGCTGTAGGACTGATATATATGAATTCTATATATATATATGTATATGTTTGTGTAAACTTAGATGTGTACACGCTAAAGGTACACATAAAAAGCATAGAGGGTACGTATATCTTGGTTCGCACGCGTGTACGCAATTGGGACAATACGTGCACGTATATTTGTGCTATTCTATATTACGCACATCAGTGCTGTCCGGTTCACCGAAAATCGTGACAAGTAGTAGCATAGAATGTATGCATATACAAAGTGACCTAATTGAGACTTGCACGAAGAAAAATGGCATACCATCAACGTCCCACAAAAGAATGTTATCGGCGGACTTAACTAAAATAATTGTTCGGTTCTCATTCACAGTTTCATCGCTGCACGATGGTCTACTTCGTGAATTCCGTGAAGAATTTTCTGTAGAAGAAAGCGCTTGATTACTCTGGCGCTCACATGGAGAGGCATGGCCACATGCATATTCAACCACAGCGATATTCATCACTCCCTCTTTACATCATGTTCGGCGCATGCGACGGGGCATACACTAGAAATGTGCACACATCTACACTATGCCCTGTACATTTAAAATATTGTGTTTTTTGAATATTTATTTTTACTCACGCGCGCGAACTGCGAAGTGGCACTTTTGTGATAAACCCTACTGCGTGTATTACCCTGGAACTGTGAATACATAGGCAATTAGACTCTCTCTCTCTCTACCAGAGGCAACAATTTAAAAAAAAATATTTTAACAAATACATGTGAACGTCATAGTATGTAGTGTAATATGCATACAGTAGTAGGGCCTACTTGAGGGTCTCAGACATAAGAGTAAGGTTACTCTTTGGTTGCTTATCGCACTTGAAGCTATGCTATAGTTTTTATGGAAAGAAAAACCAAACAGCAAGCTACCCACCGGGTGAGAAACCTTATTAAGGTTGTTTCATGCAAATCCTAATGTGGACATATTTTAAGTTGTACTTAAAACTTAAAACAACTTACAGAACTGTTTGGAATGATTTCACAGTTACGTTTGTTGTAGACTAGTTTATATAATATTGTATATAAACTGAATACAGATTGTAGAGAAACATCAAGCAGGTTGAGTCTTCAACTTGTCTAATGAACTTTGTAATGAAGTAGGTTTTTGCTGCTAGAAGAGTAGTTTTCCTTTCTACCTGGAGTAATCAATACTTGCACCTGAGCGCTTTAAAGTAGTTGTCAACCATATTTATAATAGCCCTCTTGTGTAATTGGTGTCAACACGTGAAATAAGTTTTTTTAAACTCATTTCAGCTTTAAAAAATAATTGTTTGTAGGTCTAAACTCAGTTAGAACTCGAGTCTTAAAACCCAGGTCCCAGGAACGTCTGAAGTCGAAGGAGCACATACGAGTCATGAATTCATGATGTGATATATTTTATGTTTTAGGGTTTAATGGTGCTGTCCACACTGACCACACTGACCACTCTAATAATAATCACTAATGACTAATCAACTACATAATCACATTGACTTCAAATAAAAATGAGAACAGACCGTAAGTCACTCTCAACTTCTCAAGAGCCCATAAAGCGATCACTAGGTAATTTTTTTAAATGTTTTTTAAAAAAACAATACGGAGTCGTAGGAAGGGCAAAGACCGGAAGCGATGCAAGCGAGCAGAGTAGTTGAGGATTTGAGGGAGTCAAGTTGAGGCTTTTGAAGACACTTGAGCCTCATTGTTTATTTTGTAATTTTTAGATAATAACAAAAATTAAAAAGGTTAAACCAGTCAAAAGCGATTTTTACAAATACAAATGTATATTGATTAGATGATATTTCTTTATGGAGTAGCTATTCTGGGAAAACAGTCAAATCAAAACAGTAATGAGCAAACAACTAAACATACAAAGTCATATGTACGAATGACAAATTATTTACAAAAGAAAATTGTTAAAAAAAACAACGCAACAAGTTATACAAGTTTACAATGTTACATATTTGTTTTGGCGAGTACACTAAAACCCTTTTGTTAAAAAAAGAAAAAGTAAAGACTCTCTATGTACAACTCTACATACTTTTTGTTAAAAAAAACTACAAAACAAATACGTATTTAAAATAAAAAAGCAAGCCCCGCCTTCATCTCTGAGTCTGATTGGCCGTCCAGCTGCCGTCTGTGCCGTGTAAATAAAAAGGTTCAAAGTAAATAATATATATGGGGAGACAGAGGGGCATAGTGAATACTAAAACTTATTACGTACATTCATACACTACTCAGTCAATCGGCCAAGTTGGTACACACTACATCAAAGCGAACCGTTTGACACGAGAACAGATGAGCGATGTTTATGATGCAAGTCGGCTTTGGGAGTTTCCTGTGGTGCCGGAGAACGAGGATATGCGTGAAAGAGTCCTCGAAGAATACTCATTTGATGTAAGACTTTGATAGGATGGTTGCTTGTGTGCATTAAACTGTGATAGGATGGTTGCTTGTGTGCAGTAGACTGTGATAGTATGGTTGCTTGTGTGCATTAAACTAGATATAGGTATCAATTATTACACTGTATGTTCTATAATTAACAAATCGTCGCGTTTCACAACACATTTCTGTTTAGCTTCGAGGATTCTCACCCAATGTAAGACTTAAAATAAGATGTTTGCTTGTGCGGCGGATGCTGTAAGTATGTTCAATTTGAATCAAGTATTATGACGACGTACATGCAAAGGGTCAGGGATTGATCGCATACTGTGGGACTACACGTAGTTTACCAGTATAGATTTCGATACGATTTCGATGCAACTATGGCCGTGTTCGTTGTCAATTTTCAAGACAGACCCTCAAAGTCAATCACGAAATTATCTTCACAGGACAAACACACTGACGAATGCGCCGACATATATACCGACCTTGTTATGCTTATTCATTACATTACAGACCCATCGGGATAACAATCTCTCGACCTTTGTGCAGAGCTTAGCCAATTCACTTGCGACAATTACTCGTTGCAAAGTGGTGTGTCTGACTATTGTGAAGGGCGATAAGCAGATCTTCTACGGAAACCATGGACTCAAAGTTAACACAACACCTCGGTCACAGTCATTCTGTGCCCATGCGATAAATAAGCCGAAGGAGGTTTGTGTGTGTGTGTGTTGCCTGCAAGACCTTTGTTATTTCCTTTACTCGGAGTATATGCAAAAGTACATTCTGCATACAGAGCAATTTTGGCGCTGTTTCTAATTTCAATCGTAAAGATACGATGGCCTATTCCTTGTTCGATTAATTTTCCCAAACAAACACACAACATTTCACCTTTCACACACAACACTTCACTTTTCACACACAACACTTCACCTTTCACACACAACACTTCACCTTTCACACACAACACTTCACCTTTCACTCACAACATAGCCTTTAATTGTGCTGAATGCGTTGGAAGACAACCGCTTCGCCGAAAACCCGCTTGTTCTGGGCGATCCGAACATCAGGTTCTACCATGGCGTCCCGTTGGTGAATATGGACGGTGCAGCATTGGGTGCCCTGTGCAGTATTAATGACCAGCCTTCACGGCTGCGGCCTGACCAGGAGGCAGCGCTGAATTTGATGGCCAAGATGGTGTGTACGTTGCTCAATCTTCTTGGCTAGGGTGTCGTTTGAGGTATATGACGTGCTGGGATGGTTCTGTGTTTCACATTGCGTGATGTACCGGGACTCACTTAAAATCAATACATCGTTCGTGTTTGTATTGAAACTAGCAATCTCTGGTTACAGATGTGTATTGTCGGGACCGCGGCAAAAGTAGTGAACTCATTCTCACGCATGAAAGCAACTAACGTTCAATCCCGCTATACCTTTTCCTGTGGCGCGTACATCCGTGCCCATAGTGCGTGGCTCAATTAGAACTCGTCCGTATATTCCGAATGGCAAGGTTCGACGATGACGAAAACCGGGCCAAACGAGCGAAGACTATAAAGCATATCCGTAATGTGTTGGGGAAGAACATTGCCTTCCTACCTTCGTCAAACGCCAGGCTGCATGTACACATAGAGAACTCGGGCAATGTATACGACGAGTTTGAGAAATTGCTACGGTAAGTAGCGGCGGATTCATAAGACACGCCCGATGTCTTACAGTTCATACCAAGTTTGCTGCACGCTTCTACAAGGAGTGTCATTTAGTATATCTCATACACGGCATTTTATACTGCCAATTTTATTTAAGAGTCTCGTAAGGTGAGTCATGCTCAGTGGGTTGAATGCATACTGCAGCAGTCCCCGTGACACACTCTGTCTCAAGCGACCCATATGTCACATGGTTTGCAGCGATGAGAATGGCAGCATGATGATGTTCTTTCAACTCGGCAAAGAACAAAATCTCGAGCAACTCATGTTCTGGCAGCTGACTGAGGTTTATAGAGAACGGCCCTGTGTGGAATACCTGGTAGGCGCTGTAGACGCCTTCTTGATCACGAACTCCCAATATGAGGTACGATGGGTCTATCACTATATTCGCAGCAAATATTTGCAGTAGACTATATATGTATGTATATATATATATATATATAGATATATATATATATATACATCTATATATATATAATATATATAATATACACACACA